CACCTGGAATCTTAGAGTTTGCTGTAAAGTACGAACAGATGCTGCAGCAGGCTGTAGAGCATGTTAAGAAAGCACAAGATGCCATGGTGACATCTGAGAAGAAACACAGACGACCGTCTGCATTTCAGGAAGGTGAACGAGTTTGGGTAAAATCATCTGAATTGGGCCAGGAGTTGGGAATTTCACGCAAACTGATGCCACAATACGTTGTGCCTTGGGAGACTTTGGACATAGTAGGAGATCAACCCGATGGCCCATCATGTGTGATTCGCATTCCTGGTCACCTCCGTACAGACCCTGTTTTTCATGCATCCAAATTGGCACCCTTCGCTGAAACTGAGCAGTTTTCCTCAAGAAGATCTATGCTGCCCCCAACCATGGATGGACAAGTGGACATTGACAACATTGTTGAGTACAAGATGATGCCTGTGCCCAAGCCTCCAGGCAGGGGACGCTCTCCGAAACCGCAGATGCAGTACCGAGTGTGGTTCAGACACAATACAGATCCTAAAGAAGATTGGTAGTTCACCAGAGAAGAGCTAATGAAGACTGCTCCCCAAATTATCTCAAGCTATGAATGAGATTTGAAAGGGAAGCAGCCTGCTGTGTAACAACTTCTCAGAGGACTATCGAAGTGAAGGAGGAGGGAGTGCGAGGGTTTCTGCCTTGGCATAGGGCCCTGCAGCAGGTGCGTGCCCGCCCTAAGTGAAGGCAGCCCCCCTGAATCTCAATTTGCCCTGAACTTGTCAATTTTTACAAATCTTGGTCGGTGCTAGACAGTTGCCACGCGCCAGTTGGTTACAATCTGCCTTGCTCGTGACAATCCAAAATATTTGTGAGCCTTCCTGGCTCTTCCAGCAACGTGGTCGAAGCAGGGAGCATTGCACGTTTTTGCCTGGGTGGTTGGGCATGCCTAACCAATTCGGTTCCTGGCCACTGTCTGAATCGGGCCTGGGCACAGACACTTTGGCCGAGACTGAAGTTACTGGAAACTCGGTCTCACGTGGGGGTTTCAAAGGCAAGTGCCCGCCTGTTTCCATATAGGAAAGGGCAGGGCGCAGGGCTGGGTAGTCGGGCACTTGCAAGCACATGCGGCAGTGATGCTGGAGCTAGTGCTCGCGGGGCTGCTGCTACGCTAGAGTGTGGGCAAGTGTGTACGCGCGCGTGTGGTCATGCGAGAAGGCAGGGCACTGGTGAGGGCAGCGCCATAGCCAGCCCCACGTAGCCAGGGCTCGGCTTGGACATAGCCAGTGGAGGTGGTGGTGGTCTTTGTGTATGAGGGAGAAGACGTGGGTGATGAAGTCAAGGTAGAGAGAGAGAGATGAGGTTGATGATGTGAGGGCACATACCTGGAGTTGGCGATGGTCTACAAGGGTCCACATCTTCATGTACTTCGGTTCTGCTGCTGACGTCAACAGGATGCTTTGTCAATTCGTAGGCTGCTAGTAGCTGTGTAGAAGTAGTCTGGGCGCTGAGCGCCAAGTAGGAAGGACTCTGGATACATATTTTGGTGGTGGCGAGAGTACGTTCTCATTGGCATTCGGATTCAGTGCTTTCTTTCTACGTTGGTGGAATATCAGTGCATTACTGCTTTCTGGACAGCATTTGGACTTGCTGGCTTTCGATGTGATTTTGCAATCTGGATTTCAGTCATTTCGCTATATGTCATTTTCCTTGCACTTGTGGACAACCAAAAACATTTCCGGGCTTGCTGAACTTACAAAATGTTCAAACGAAAACACACACACAAGTTGAAGCCACACTTCTCGCTCTTGCTTCTGGCGGACAGCTTCCCCCACTCACAGGCACGTGGCTGTTAATGTGATAATGTGCAGAAAACTGAAGCCAAGTTTCTCACTCTTGCTTCTGTGGGAGTGCATCTTCCACCCACAGGCAAGTGGCTGCCAATGTGAAACAACAGATCTGGACGAGAAAAAACTGCACAACAGCCTAAGTTCCAGGTCTGGACTGTCCGGCTGAAGTCTGAGTTGCCAACTACTGAAGCCACTATATCTCTATTCAATCTATTGCTATAGGTGCTGGTACTGAATCCCAGTGACTTATCTACAAAAATGGCATGTCGCTTGATAACTTTTTTTTTTTTTTTTTTTTTTCAATGTAAACAAGGCTCCAACAGATATTTATCAGGAAGCTGCTAGGCAAAAATGTTGTATTAGTTTCAGAAAAGGCAAAAAGATCTCCCTTGCCAACACAATGATGTAGTTTCTTTCATTTGGTGTATTTGCAGCGTGTTTTTTGAGGCTTCTAACTTTCCAGGGCAAGGTTTTGCCATACAGGGTTTGTTGAGTGTTGTAATTTAAACCATCATTGCATTTTGCAAGCCACTGTTCCTGAGGTCTTTGAATTTCAAGGCTGTTTCAGTAATAAACAAATCCAAGCGAGGCATCAAACATACATTTCCACAGATAGTACAAAATATCTCCAATATAAGGGAGCTGAAGGATAGACATTCATGCAATGTTTGAGAGGGTTCTAAACTTCGTCGTTTGAAGCGAGGAGACCAGGCAAAATGCTCTGAAGTCCAACATAGGAAAATTATTGCCCTGAATTAGCTGAGTTCATACACCTGCGGGCAGATCCTCCCCCAACTGAGATGCATACCATCATATTGAATCTAATGTTGGATCTGCCTCAATTGAGGACATGAAGGCTATATTTATTTTGGGACAAGAACAGCAGATCGTCTGTAGTTGAATGAGCTTATGTTACTGAGGTGCTGAAAACTTGACTCGGAAGTGTCCTTCAAGAGAGCAGCGAAATCCCGTTGGTCTATCCCTTGAATAACGTGGGTTGAATATATAAATATTACCTGGAACCAGTCGATTGTGCAGCAGTTCACGAGAGATGGGTATTGCCGAAGTCGTTCACGAAATCGGGCACCAACAGGACTCATGCAGAAGACCACATGAAGTTTCTGCTTGCAGCGCTCAATGAAATATCCCCATAGTTCATCGTGAGATTCCAATTCCTTTCTCATCTTTGAAGCAACTGGGCGCATAAGCTCAATGATTTGCACCTTCTCATCATTCGGAAACATGCTGCCTATCACCTGACAAAGAATCATTCACCGAAGGCAACATTCACACTAATTCACACTCAGTAACATACAGGGAAGCCATTTAGTGAGCCGTGTAATGGACAACTATTTCACTGCCTATCACCTGTGAAACGGTTTCACCCAGTTGACCCGACATTGTAGACACAGAGATTCGATCCCCAGACCTGTGCCCTAACCCTGTACATTGAACCTGTGTGCTGAGTGAGATTCGATCCCTAGACCTATCCTATACCTGTACATAGACCCAGTGACCTGAGTAGGATTCGATCCCTAGACCTGCCATACGTCCTAGGCTAGTCTGTCGGTCGAACAGTAGGACTTGATCCCTAGGTCTGTAAATTAGGAGTTAGGTATGTTACCATTAGTCTTAGGAAGGTCTGTTCTAGAAGTCTCTATCTGAGTCTACTGAGGCCTAGAGTCTCTGTAAGTCGGTAGGCTCTAGAAGGTCGTAGGTCCTTGGCCAGTCCAGTCAGCAAGTACCAGGGGTAGGGGCTGCACGTGGGGAAGGTTCTGGACCACGCTGTGGGTTCCACAGGTTTTGGCCAGAAGGCCAAACGTCTGGAAGCTTCCCTGGGCCACATGTTTTGGCCCAGGCCCACACGTTTTGAGGCAGGCCCGGGTACCTCCGAAGAAGTATAAATAAAGAGGCAGCGTCCAGCCATTCATTCATTCGCCTGTGTGCCATGCGGAAGAGCTGCCTTGGTATCTTGTGTGTGGAGGACTGCAGGTGCCCGGAGAAGCAGTTGGCTGTGAAGAAGACAGCGGCCATAGCGAACCAGCGAGGGAGACACCGGCCGCTATAGCCAGGAGGAGGAAGAGGACCGCGGCCATAGCCCCCCAGCTGTTGGTGTAGACAGGGTGTACAGAGTGTGTATGTATGTGCAGCGTGGACATTCAGGGTGATCCTGGTACATGCGTGCATGCGAGAGTG